TTATGTGGCCTACCACTTGGTGGCTGAGTTGTTGTTGTTCCCAGTTGCTTCCACTTTGTTATAATACCACTAACAGTTGTCTGTGGAATATTTAGTAGCAAGGAAATGTCACAGATGGACTTATTGCACAGGTGGCAACCTATCGCAGTACCACACTTGAATTCACTGAGCTCCTGAGAGTGACCCATTCTTTCACAAATGTTTGTAGAAGCAGTCTGCATGCCTAGGTGCTTGATTTTATACACCTGTGGCCATGGAGGTGATTGGAGCACCTGAATCCAATGATTTGAAGAGGTGTCCCAATACTTTTGGCAATATAGTAGTAGTTTTTAACCTCTATATTATATATAATACAATTTTATACATGTCATTTTAAATACAAACAACCACCCCTATCACCACTTTTTGGGTAAAAGTTGTATATTTAGAAAAGGTGATCCAGCCATTAATTTCCCTTAAATGGTTGTTATTACAATATAAAATGCCTTATTATATCAAGTGGTAGCTTTAATAAAATGTGTTTTCAGTCCAGGGGCGGACTGACCATTTGGAAACTCGGGCACTGCCCGATGGCCCCGGGGTCAGTAGGGGGCCCCATGAGACGCCCCTGGTACCTTTTTCATAGGCTTTTTTGAGTTTGGGCAAAGACACAGGGGCCCCATGATCCCCTATTGCCCAGGGGCCCCATGAGTTGTCAGTCCGCCCCTGTTTCAGTCTCATACGTTGCCTTAAAGCAGTGTTTCTCAATTCCAGTCCTCATGGACCCCCAACAGGTCATGTTTTCAGGATTTCCATTATTTTGCACAGGTGATTTGATCAGTTTCACTGCCTTAGTAATTACCACAGCTGTTTCATCTGAGGGAAATCCTGAAAACATGACCTGTTGGGGGTCCATGAGGACTGGAGTTGAGAAACACTGCCTTAAAGTCATTTCTCATAAAGATGGACTATATTTCAAATGATTGGGTGTAGTTATGTCCTCCTTTAGGCAGTAGATGGCAGTATAATAAAGAAAATGCTAGCCTTATCCTGATTTAGGAAGACTGGGAAAGTGAGCCAATTAAAAATACAAAATACTCCGAATGATTACGTGTATTTGTTTTAATGAGATGCATTGGTGGACATCTTCTGACTCTATGTACAAATATGTCCAACAATTGTCATGCTCCATAGTTTTACATTTCATGCACATGGATGTTTAGAGACTAAAATGTGCTCAAGCTTAAAATTGCCAGCACTTTCTTGTGCCCAGTAAGTCTCGGGCATGTTTGTACAGCACATTTCTCCAAAAGTAAGAATCATTCTGGGGGAAAATGTGCCATACCTGCATGCACAGGTGAATGCTCATACACAGAAGTATTGGCTTTTAAACCTGTACAGCTGCATACAGCCATTCACTTGTATGGCCGGCTGTATGCACCACCTGTGCATAAAAAGTGCTGGGAATTTTACAATTGCGCACTTTTATGTCTTTAGATGTCTCCATGCATGAGGTCTTAGACGTCAAATTGTTTTCATGTCATATACCATATAACAGGCAGCTATTCTCTGAATTTTAAAGAAAAATATACATATTCAAATTGATTGGAATATGGGAACTGTAGAGCTTTTACCAGATTTAAGTGAGTCCTCTCTAATATGTATGTAGGTCATATAAGTCATTAGGTTAATATTAACCACTTTAGCTCCGGAAGATTTTACCCCCTTTATACCAGGCCTTTTTTTTTCTTTTTAGCACTGCACTACTTTAACTGGTAATTGCACAGTCATGCAACCCTGTACCCAAATAAAATTGATATAACACAAATAGAGCTTTCTTTTGGTGGTATTATTTTTTTATATATAATATAAATAAAAATTTGCAAAAATATTTTTTACTTCCTGCTATAAAACATATCCAATAAAAACATTTTAAAAATCAAATTTCTTCAAAAAATTTTGGTCCAAATGTATTCTGCTACATGCCTTTGGTAAAAAAAATCCCACATAAGTGTACATATGGATTGGTTTGCGTGAAAGTTAGATAAATCTATGGTAGATATACATATCCGGGCTCAACATTTCAAGTCCTAAGCTACTAGCCAGGACTTAAGAGTGACTCGCCACCAGTTGCCCCAGCCAACTCCTAACCTAACCCGCCCCTAATTCCGGCCCTAAACACGCCCTTGTAAATTATCTCATTAATGGCACTGTTAAATGTTTTATGCAGAAAGAAGGAAGAAAGGGAGAGAGGGGTGGAAGGGAGGGAGGGGTGGAAAAATGGGAGGGAGGAAGGAAGGAAGGAAGGATCGAAGGCAAGGGAGGGGTGTAGGAGTGGAAGGGAGGGTTGGAAGGGAGGGAGGAAAGAAAGAAACGGAGGGAAATAAGGGAGGGGTAGGTGAAAGAAAGGAAGGGAGTGGTGGAAGGAAGGAAGGGGTGGAAGGAAGGAATTAAGGAGTGGGTGGAAGGAAGGGAGGAATGGGTGGAAGGAAGGATCAAAGGCAAGGGAGGGGTGGAGGAGTGGAAGGGAGGGGTGGAGGGAAGGATCGAAGGGAAGGGAGGGGTGGAGGAGTGGAAGGGATGGTTGGAAGGGAGGGAGGAAAGAAAGAAAGGGAGGGAGGGAAAGAAGGGAGGGGTAGGTGAAAGGAAGGAAGGGAGTGGTGTAAGGAAGGAAGGAAGGGGGGTGGGGGGAAAGAAGGATTGGAGGGAAGGGGGGGGGGGGAAGGAAGGAAGGAAGGGAGGGAGGGAGGGAGGGAGGGAGGGGGGTGGGGGAAGGGGGGAAGGGGAGGGGTGGGGGAAATATGGGGGAGGGGGGGGGGGGGAAGGGGTGGAGGAAGGGGGGGTGGAGGAAGGAAGGGGGGAAGTGGTGGGTGGAAGGAAGGAGGGGTGGGTGGAAGGAAGGAAGGGGGGGGAAGGAAGGGTGGGTGGGGGTGGAAGGAAGGGGAGGGGTGGAAGGAAGGGTGGGTGGGTGGAAGGAAGGAAGGGAGTGAGGGAGATCACTGTTTGTCACCATTGCACAGATCATACCTAACCATTCCGTTTCTTTCCTGCCCCCCCCCCCCCCCGGCTGTGTGCTCCTCAGTGCCTAGTCTCCTATTGGTGGATAGGGGGAGTGGCTTGGCACTGAGGAGCACACAGCTGGGGGGAGGCCACAATAGAAAGAGAATGATCAGGCACCGCTTGTCACCGCCCCTACCGCAACTCCTCCCACACACCCCTAGTCCCGCCGCTGCTCGCCTGTATATTTGTGTATATACTGTGTATATATATATATATATATATATATATATATATATGAATTAGTGAGGCTAGCAAGCTGACACTAACTGACTTTGAGAACTGACTAACTGCCACTAACATCACCAAAGACATTAATACTGTACAGTGATAATACTATACACTATCACTGTACTAATGACACTGGCTGGGAAGGAGTTAACATCTAGGGCGATCAAGGGGCTAAATATGTGCCTAACAAAGTGTGCTGTTTTTACTAATAGATCTCTTTGCAAAGCAGGGATGAGAAACAGAGAGATCATTCCCTCTGTACAGAGCCCTGTGTTGAATTGTCAACACAGGACCCTATGCTGTGATTGGACAAGGCTGATCAGCAGATCCTAGTCATGAATCATAGCTTGGGACCTGCTGACAGACTCCCGCTGTGTACAGTCACAGTGTGGATGGGGGTCATCACACCCCATACATAAAGAAACATACATATGGGCTGCCGTCTGCAGTAGATGGCGTGTGGGAGGACCTTAAGTGGTTAATTTGTTTTTTCTTCTTGTTTATTTGACAAAAACATGATTTTTTTTTCATGCTGATAAATGCTTTCCAAGGTAAATTTTACATACAGATTTCTCACCACTATCATCTCAGGTGGAATAGCTCTGCGTTAAGAGTCTCATATACCGACCGGAGTCCGAGTTCTGCATTTACCTTTAATGAAATAGTGCTGGTCAGGCACATCTCCCACACTGTGCTTCTAAACAAGAGGCATGGCATGCAGATATCCTGCATAATAATGGAAACCTATTCCAAGAGCCACTGTATATTGTACCTAAAGTGCAACCTGAACACTGACGTTTAGTTCTGAATAGTTTTGGGAAGGGCTAGGGCGTCACTAAGATTTTTTTCTGCTTTGTGATGCTCTTGGGAAGATCTCCTCTCATTTCCTACTCCAATGACAGTGTTTTAAAGATAATGGACAGTAAAGGGAAATCTCTCTAATAAGGAAACATACAATAAATAAAACAAAAACTTCTTTTAGGAGGATGCTGCAGGCTAGGGCATCTGTTTTTTTCCTGTGTCTCCACTGGCAACTTCTTCTCACTTTCTATTCTGGTGATAATTTTGTCAGCAAGTGAGGGTAAATCTCTCAATCAGGGTCACAAGGAGTAATAACCTGTCCCCCATTCTATTTGAAACTACAAAACTCAAAAACGTTTTTTTTTTTTTACACTTTGCATGAGGTAGCCGTATTAGCGTACTTACGACAGAAACAATTGAGTACTGTCCATGATACTCTTTTTATTTGCATTAACATACTATTTTTAAGGACAAGCTTTTGGGGTATGTCCCCTTCGTCAAGGTCCAAGTAGTACTATTTTAACATTCTGCAAAAACTTTGTGCATTAGTATTGCTTGGACTTTGAAGAAAGGGGGTACACCCTGAAATATTTTACACTTTGAAAACCCTGAGAAGGAAAACCAAAGCAAGAGCCATCCCTTCAAGGGTGTCTTAATGCCAGAGGCTTTGACTAGGCCTCCCGATCACTGTTACTGGCTATCAGAGAAGTCATGCAATCAGGTAACTATCAAACCAGCTCCCAATCATAAACAGAGAGTGAATGCAGTGACAGTGCGTTCACAGTGCTGGTGGCACCAAGTCCCAGAAGAGTGCCGGCTGTACTCATAATCATGGCAGCATGGCTGTAAAAAAACCCACCACTGTGCTGCCACGTATATGCTTACGTTTAGTAGAAGGGAGAGAAAGTTATTGTTTTAATACATTTTCTTACATCAGCCTGCAGTTTTGTCTTCTGTGCCTGTAGTTGACATAAGATGCTTTTATATTCCTCCAGCTGGCTCTGCAGTATTGGAATTCTTCTTTCCGATATCAGCCTTTCCTACGATTAAAAGCAAGGTAAAACAGTGGTCATACAAAGGTTCAGCTATATGACAAATGTCTAAATTATGTACTTAAGTCCATTAAAAGGCCCTTACCTCATACATGCCAACAGTGATGGCAGTCACAGGAGGGGTGGTCTGAATTATTTGTTGCAGTATGTTAACATAAGTTTGAATCTCCATGAGGTTCTGTTAGGAAAAGCAAAACATTTTGTTCTAGTACACAAATTATTTAAGATGCACAGGAAAGATTAGAGGGACCAATCCAGATACAAATGTATTGCCTAACTGTACTGTATTCTGCAGAAAGGTACAGAACCTGGTTGTGTTGTATGGCACAGGTCATGGACTACTGCATTGGCATGTAGGGCCAACAGACGTAAAAACCTTAATAAGGATTGGCTTGGCTGTTAAAACCATTCACATGTACATTATCTATTCTGCTATTTCTGCTCTGAGGTTATGCTGTCTAGAATCCTATCCCACTCCTTGCTCTTCAATTGTTTCCTGGGAAAGCCAAGGCCACACTGTGGTAATGTAGGGACGCTGTCCTACTATTATAATGTCCATAGGTGCATTTGCTTAGTATCAGCATAAATGGCTTAAAAACAGGGATGGGATGCCATAATAGAGCTACACACTGTGAATCTGGTACGTCCACGTAAAAGCACTTGTGTATAAAATGGGTCTGCGCTTTGCCCCCACCACCCAGCAGCTGGGCGGTGGGGGCACCCCTTTACTTTCAGGATAACCTTCCTAGTGATATGATCAGTCAAAACTTTTTTTGTTTTAGTTTTATTTAGAGTGGACAAGAGAACTTGTGTTAAGTTTTACTACTTGTCCTGGTGATCATTGTATCTGGTACAGAAAATTATGGGCAAACTAAAAGTGCTGAAGTTGTCACAGGAACAGGAGGCAAAGGGAAGGTTTGTAAAGGTTTCCTCTCACTTCTTATTGTATCTTTGGTACAGGAAGAAGAAGAATGTTACCAGCACACCAAGAAATCCTCAGAAGTGTCCAAAGCTTTATTTAGTGATCACATAATATATCCAGTGGCAACTTTTCAAAGCCATGCAGAGTCCCTTTGTCAAGCAAGTGACCCTGTGTGGCTCCGAAATGTTGCCACTGTATATATTATGTGACCAATAAATACAGCTTTGGACCCTTTTGAGGATTCCTTGGTGTGCTGGTGACAATCTTCTTTTTGGATTGTCTGTGGTTCCCAGCTAGTTGTCACTGTAGCACCCAACACTACTGAACAGCCATCTGCAGAAACATGTGCATTGGGAAAACAGCGTTTGGTACAGGAAGTGTAAGTTAAGTTTTCTAACAGGACACAGACTGCAAAAAAAAAAAATCCAATGGGGTCTTAGTCATTCCCTTCTCTATCTAAAAAATATCTTGACAAGGGCCAGGACAAGGGGGGAGTAGGAGTGGCTGTCCTGGGTGCTGTAGTATCATGTGGGATGGGGGGGCACCACTTAAACAGTTCCTGCCCCTACCAACTGACAGGAGTAGTGACGTCAGAATCACTATTCCTGTCAGCTTAGCACAGGAAGTGAAAAGCAGAATCAGGAGAGCAGAAGAGATCTGGGAGGAGGTGCGAGCTGTGCACTCTCTCTCTCACCTTGAGCTCCTTCTCCTGCCACTGCAGTGTTCCGGCGCCTTGACTGTCAGATTGGGACTGTGCAGGGTTTCTTTACCTGTCCCCATCTCCTCTCAGCAAAGAGCAGGTATGGAAAACCTGGGAGTCAAAGATTTGTGCTGGGAGGGGGGAATTCAGCAAGGTGGGGATTTGTACTGAGAGTAGGAATTTTTGTTTTTGGAAAGTTATGGCTTGCAAGGGGAATATATACTTTGGGGCTAGCATACAGATTAGTGGTTGATTTGTGTTTGGGGGGGGATTTTTACTGACATATAATGCTCATAAATCTTGGGGGGGGGCACAATTTGGCATCTTTGCCCTGGGCACTAAGTGACTTTGTTCCTGTAATGATGTTGGCTTTAGATACATTTTAACAGTACATTACAAACAGCCTTTGAGGCAATTATAAATTATATGTGATTTACAAAAAGCAGAATTCCTCTTAAAATGTAATGATCGTGAGATGCTGAAATTCCAGCCAAAAGCAGAACTTTTATGTCTACAGTGGATGGCAGACATTGTCATCTGACCACTCTCAGCGGACATTCCAGACTATATTAGAAAACCTGTCCCAGTAGCAACTATAAAATAAGAAACCTCTGCACGCTCTTCTCTCCTCTCCCCATCCTGTCTTCAGCAACATAAGCAAGAAAAATTGGCAGAGCTGAATGTTTTCCATGGGCATCTCAAAGGACATGGCAGATGTATATTCAATTATATTCAAATAAATGTACCTTCTTGTATCGGTCCTTTGCAGCATTGATGTCATCTTGCAAGAACTGAGATTCAATCTGAAGCTCTAGATTGCTCAACAAAGCGTCATCTGCTTCCTAAAAATATAAAATATTGCTCACCATTAAAACATTTTAGAAACAGATTACATTTTTGCTTTTCTGGATAAAATATAGTTTCCATTTTAATTTATTAGCAATATCAACATACGTTATTGCATTGGAAGACTCAAACTCTGATCTTATACAAGCTAAGATGATTAGGCCCTGTAGGGGCTAGTTGGAAAAAGATAATTAATGTGTCCGAGTATCAGAAGTCCCTATTCTAACATGCTGACTTTACAACTTTAGCTTATGCCAACCATTCCCTTTTTTAATGGAGAAAACAAACTCTTTAGCTCGAGTGTGAAGCCTTCATTTGTCAGCTCAGTTGGTGGAAAGACTGTATCAAGGCCTGATTGCATTCAATGGCTTAAAATAGAGCAGTCATTCCACTAACCTTCATTTCTGGATTGCATTTTTTTCATTTTTTTGGAACTTATTCACACTAAAGTGTTACTAAAGGAAGGGGGGTAAATCCTCAGGAGGGCAAGTGGTTAAAGTGGAGTTCCAGACGTTTTTGTGTTTATTAAAAGTCAGCAACTATGAAAAATGTAGCTGCTGACTTTTAATAAACATACACTTACCTGTCCCAGGGTCCAGCGATGTTCTCACCTTCACCGTCCCTTCTCTCCTTCTCTCCACGGCGCCGGCATCTCAACTGTGGGCACCAGGCTGTGACAGCTTTCGACTTCACAGTCGGGTGTGGCTGTGCATCCTGATTGGTCCGGCAGTCTTCTGGGACCTGTGAAAGTTCCCAGGAGACTGCGGGAGGAAGGAGGAGGGAGCCGAACTTCTGGTTCACTTGGACGTGGCTAATTGGGCCAGAAGTGGGAGCGGGTACCTGTCAAAACCAAGTACCTGCTTCTCCCAAAAAGGTGCCAAATATGGCAGTTGAGGAGGGGAGGAGACAAATAAGCGGAGCTTCCACTTTTGGGTGGAACTCTGCTTTAAATAAATTTAGTACTGAGGATATAGAATTGTTTACACATCAGGAAGAGTTATCTGAAACCTTATATTTGTGCATACGAACAGACTGATGGAGTGCTGTGCTTCTACAGCTGCCTGTCCAAGAGTTTGCAAAATATAAACTCATAATTACAGTGATTTAAATCCACGAAGCTCTTTAACCTGCACACCATGAAACATTTATGATTTTTAGTAAATTCAAGATTGGCCAAGGACAGAAATATAGATTGTACACTGCACTCACAACTCTACTACACCTGTCCTATTTGTCTATAGATCCCCTTTAAGCACATTACCATCCATGAATTGGCACACACCAAAAATTTCCAGGTAGATGTAGGCGCATTCATGACAAAGACAAAACTTCACAAATTTTCAAAACTTAGAACATCTATTCATCCAACTTATTGCATATCAAATTTGTAAGGGTTAAACGCAGCTGCCTTCAATAGCTCATAGTTTCTGCTGACACAAGATTTACTTAGATACTTATTAAATGGGTTTTCCATACATAACATTGACAAACTCATGTGTCAGCTCTACTAAGCTAATTTTCAGCTTTAATGTCGCACTTTGAATAGCAGTTGCTTAGTGGTTGAGAACTCTGATTCATTGGGGTTTTTTTTTTTCAAGGAGTTTTACAGTTAAAAAATTTTACAGCATGATTTTAATATTTAACCAACCATAAATTTGTCTTTGGCAGAATTAAAAGAAGTATATAACTTAATAAAATGTAGTTATAACAGTAAAAATATAAGTTAAACACAAGATTTACTTAGATACTTATGCATTTTGTTATAGGGATGCTAAATAATGTACCTTTATAAAAAAAAAATCAATATCAGATAATTAGATATGTTTCTCCATACAATACTACTGTCTTCGATTGTGATTGTATGGGCAAAATAAAGTGTGATTAACCACTTCAAGTTTGGACACTTTCATTCCCTTCCAGTCAAGGCTAATTTTCAGCTTTCGGCACTGTCGCACTTTGAATAGCAGTTGCGTGTGGTCATGCAATACTGTACCCAGATGATATTTTTATAATTTTTTTCACACAAATAGCTTTCTATTGGTGGTTTTTGATCACCACTGGGGTTTTTTTTGCAGAAAAAATACAGAACATTTAAAAAAAAACAGATTTTTGCTTAGTTTTTATTGTAAAATTTTGCAAATAAATAATCTAACTTCATAAAATTTAGTTTAAAATGTATTCTCCTACATTGTTTGGGTACAATACACCAAAACAGTGTATATTATTTAGTCTGTGTGAAAGTTATAGAGTCTACAAACTATGGGAAATATATCTGAAAAATTGATCAGTTTAGACCCTAAAATGCCGGACACTGGAATGACGTGTGGCAGTAATCAGGACGTTGGTATGAGGTATGACAGTGATCAGGACATTGGCATGAGGTATGGTGGTGATCATGACGCTGGTATGGTGGTGATCAGGATGCTATTATGGGGTATTGCATTGATTAGAACGCTGGTATGAGGTATGGTGGTGATCGGGACGTTGGTACGGTGTATAATGTTGATCTGGACACTGGCATAACATATGGGGTGATCAGAACGCTGGTATGGGCTTTGGCAGTGATCAGGATGCTGGTATGGGGTATGGTGGTGATCAGGGCACTGGTATGGCATATGGCGGTGATCAGGGTGCTGGTATGGCATATGGCAGTGGCCATGGCGCTGCTATAGGGTATGACGGTGATCAGGACGCTGGTATGGCGGGGATCAGGGCATTGGTATGGTGTATGGTAGTGTTTTTGTGAGCACTGGGACAGGTTACATGGTTGGCTGCATTTTTTATTATGATTACATTGGGGCAGTGATCAAGGATACTAGGGCTGGCTGGTACTGCAGTCTGTGAGTGTACCACCAGTGTGACAGGCTGCTGTACTCTTACAGGCTGCAGCATCACTTCTCTCTGCTCTCAAAGTGAGAGCAACTAGAACTGATCTTTATTTTCCCTTGTTGTTGTTTTCTATGTGATTGCTGTGTTTGGACACAGCAATCACATGATGAAACACCATTTGACCACCCAGAAACAGTGGTAATTTGATCTACTGTGTCCCGGTGACACACAGATCACCAAGCTCCCTGGTATGTGCCTTGTGACCTACGCAGGATCCTCTGATGCAGGCTGACATACAGGGCTGCTTCCCGTCCACCGTCTACAAGCAATGGGTGGATGGGAAGCAGTTAAGGAGGTGGAGAACAGAAAAATGTTACATGAAAGAAAGAACCCCGCATTACCTAATATGTGTATGCAATTCAAATGTGAGCTAGCTTAAACTGCTGGGGAGTATGCAGAGAATCCTGTTTTTATGACTTTGCATGCATATTTATTTATTTTATATATTACATATACTTATATTGCGTTGTCAATCTACGCAGCACTTTACATATATATATATTGTACATTCACATCAGTAGCTGCCATCAAGGAGCTTACAATCTAAGATCCCTCACATTCATAAATGTATTAGGAACACTTTATACAGGATCTAAGTCACTTATCAGCAGGTCTTTGGAGTGTCTAAAATAAATCTAAAGCCATTTTTTAATTTTGAATAGAGTAGGTATCAAACTGCATTTTTGCCATATTGTTTCATTATGGAAGATTCCCATCATTTCCTGTCATGTAGACTCTACAGCAGAGGTTTCCAAACTGCGGCCTGTGAGCCAAATATGGCCCTTTGCTTGCCTTTATCCGGCCCTTGGGGGGCTGTCCCTTTCACTGTCACTAATGATGGGACACTATTCTTTCCACTGACATCAAAGATGGGGTACTATTCCTCCCACGGACACCAGAGATGGGGAACTAATTCTCTCATTGACACCAAATATGGGGTACTATTCCTCCCACTGACAGCAATGATGTATCTTTTTACTCCCACTGGCCACCAAGCCTATGGCATTGTTTACTCCCAATGCCAGGGAATCTTCTACTCCCACTGGCCACAGTTTGGCCCCTAAAGTCTGAAGGGCAGTAAACTGGCCTTTTGTTTTGAAAGTTTGGAGACCCCTGCTCTACAGGAAAGAGAGGACATCTTTCTAATGCAAAGGAAATCCCCTCTTAGACAGTTGTCTAAACAAGTGTCCGCACTGAAAAATTTCCTCTCTATTCCAATTCTGGTGGCAACTCAAAATAGTGGATTTACCCTCACTTTTATTCCTGGAAACAATGGTGATCATGACAATTAGAGAACCTGAATCAACCTAACAGGGATACAGGCAACAATAAAAAGCATATCCATGGCTTTATCCCCTCACCAGTCTGTTCAAACCTAAAAAAATGTCTTCAGTTGTACATACAGTCATGACAAAAAACAAGTTTGGAGTTTCGGGTGGAATGTGTCAGATTTGGCTTTTTGTTTCTCCACTTTTTGTATCATACCAATACAAACAAAAGAAATAAACATGAGAATGCCTAAACATTTATAATTGTTACAATTTTCTGGGTGAAGTGGTGCATTATCTGACAGAAATGCAGGGGTGTCAATATTTTTGGCCATGACTGTATGCAGAAATTTATTTATCTGTGGACAATCTAATCAGGGCGTAAAAGAAGGTTTGACATGGCAGGACTATTGATGTTCCCAATGTAGCTCTCAAATTACTTCAAGTAAAAATGAAAAGGGTGGCAGGTTATATTTGAAAACCTGCTTGACTTGATTTTATATATTGAATATACACTATATTGCCAAAAGTATTGTGATGCCTGCCTTTATATGCACATGAACTTTAATGGCATTAGTCTTAGTCCGTAGAGTTCAATATTGGGTTGGCCCACCCTTTGCAGCTATAAGAGCTTCAACTCTTCTGGGAAGGCTGTCCACAAGGTTTAGGAGTGTATATGGGAATGTTTGACCATTCTTCCAGAAGCACATTTGTGAGGTCAGGCACTGATGTCGGATGAGAAGGCCTGGCTTGCAGTCTCCACCCTAATTCATCCCAAAGGTGTTCTTTCAGGTTGCAGTCAGGACTCTATGCAGGCCAGTCAAGTTCCTTCACCCAAA